ACAAATGCATAATGAACACATAATAAACACAAAGGGTCAGCGGTGACACATAATAAATGTGACTTATATGCCAAAGTGACTTATATATGTTTTTTCCTCTTCATTATGTTTTTTTGGATTGATACGACGTATACTCCGGAGCAATTTATACGCCAGAAAATATGGTAGCTAGACAGATATTTTGTCTTTTTAAAATAAGTTTTTATACGACTGGAGATGGGGCTGTCAAAGAAGTTAAATGGGTTTAATTTTATTTACTTTCAGAGTCAAAGTACACCTAGCATCCATTTATCCGTAGAAAAATAAAATAACCGTGAAATTGGTTTACATTTTAATTTTCAGAAGCTAAAGGACAACATTGATCATCTCTTTTAAATGAAATATTCTAAAAATGGCAAACACATTCATAGTTTTGTTACTTGTCTAAATACTTAGACAAACTGAACAATGGGTACATACATATACCATGTATGTATATAAATATACATGTATTTTTATAAATTATATTAACATATAAGGGACAGCGAGGGGCAACAACAAATCAGCAGCATATCCTGGACACTAATGCCCTGTGTCTGCCACCATAGGGTTTTCTTAATTACATTAACCAAATATGCTCTGCAGTGTGTGCAATCTCATGGTTAACTGAACACCCCCGTAGCTGCAGCCGCCCTCCCCCCTCCCTGTCCCACAGTGAAATATTCATGTTGAAAGCCACTCTTCTCATCGACTCTCCCTTTCCAACATGTGTAGTTGTTTAGCCATGCTATCATATTTAAGATTAACCTCCTCTATACAACCTAAAAGGTGTCACTATTGTTTGATCTTAGAAAAAAAAAGGACACCAACTAGTCCTCATAAGAATAACAGCACAACATAATCCTAAAATTTGATTTGACTGTTAAAAAAATACTAAGCATTTTTTTAAACTATTGTGTGTTCCATTTTATGACAATACACACAACGTTTTCATTGTATATTTAATCAGCAACTAAAGGAAAAATAAAATCTTCATGTCATCCCAAAACTCTGATTCAGATTGACCAGGCAGGACTAATTTAAATACATGAACTATTCATTAATTGAATAAAGGGGCTAGTTAGCCCAAAGGCCTCTTTATAATCATAAACTGGGGTGTACTACTTATGCAAAACAGCAAAGTGCCATGTGCTGGCTTATTATGCTAATGATGAATGGCAAAATACATGTTTCTCCTGCCCACAAAACAGGATCAGGCATGGCAGTGTCAGCAAGTTGTTTCCACTGTACAGACTGTGTTCCTCCATATTACAGCGTGTTGAGATGCAGTTGTGTAATGCAATTATTCTCATCTTCATCATGTAGCGATCCCCCATGCCCTCCCAGATTCTGTCTTTATCTTTTTAAAACTTTGTGTTTTAAATAAGGATTTAGGCTATCACTACACTGGCATCGCTATTGCATATTTTATGTTTCACAGAAAACATAATGAAGCACAGGAATAGCAGCCATTGGAAGAACACCTTGGTTGAAGTGGAAGCAATGGATGTTAATTACCGTAAATTAGTTCTAAGAAGTTGTGATTGTCTTGAAAGTTGTTCTGCTTCTAGTACAATAGGCTGTAATGACTAGAAAAACCCAACAGGATGCCCATTATTTGTAAACTGATATTTAGAAGCTCTGAGTTCAGTACCGGGCCTTTGCCAAACGTGCCATATTTGCCTTTCTGGAGGCAAGAGGTCATATCTGGAAATAAGCTGAAAAGTTATTGATGAAAGCTGACACTTCTGTCCTTTCCAAGTAGTCCAAAAAGCCACATCAAAACTATCTTTCTACTTTCTATGTGTACGTGATACACGGATATACAGAGTATACCCACTAGAAAAGCTTGAGAATTTCAGTATACCCACTTAAAAGTGCCCAATGATATATGACATATCATTAGGCACGTGTCATTGATACGTTAAATGGCAGTTAAATGCTTCTGTAACAATCTGTCTGTATGCAGCGCTTGTTTATTACATTCGCCTATCCAGCAAATTATTGTATAATGCTGTACTTACTACTTAATACTTGAACATGCTTTGATACTGTTTTATAAATTCTATAACATGTTTTTAGTACAAAGCCAACTGTTGTACAAAGTTTGTTGTACATTTATTCAAATATACGCATCAGAGAAATTTGGAAATGTTCAATATGAATGAAAATCTAAATATGTTGATTACGTTGTACTAACCAGTGTACTTTGGTTTCTAAGCACCGTATAGCTACAAAAATGTAGACGACACCACTAATTTCTACTACAGTACTTAAGAGATTTGTAGATCCATGACTTGTTTTTTTAGAATATACATTTATTTTGAAATATGGTGGGGGGCTGTAGTAGCTTGGTGGTCAATGCTGTTGTCCTACAATCCTCAGGTTGGGGGTTCAAGTCCAGGTTTTGTCCGGAAGGG